CACGGCTGCGGTCCAGAAGTACCCGCTGGAGGCATCCCCCATCCCTTCGAATGACGACGTGGTGCTCGGTGAGACCCTGGGGACAGGCAGCTCATGGGAAGGGGTTTCACGTCCTCGCTGGGGCAGCGTGGGCTGTGGCACTGTGCCACCGGCCTCACCCACTGCCCCTCTGTGTCCCCCTCCACCTCTGCAGGGCTGATCGTGGTGTGCACAGTGGCCGGGATCTCGGCACTGATGGTGGCTGCAGTCTGCTGGGGCAGGTGAGCTGGGGGTTGCCGGTGCCAGCCAGTCCTTCGTTCGCATGCTTCCCAGGTGTGGGGGTGGGTTTAGAGGAGAGGCAATAGCTGTCCTTGCCAGTCCCGCTGCAGAGTAGGGACTGGAGGACAGAGGTGGGACACCCCCGTGCTCCACACCTGGGAGCGGGTGACACCTGGTTTGGGCATCATTGTAGTGTTGGGTGCTGACCCCCCCCAGCACGTCGGTGCCTCGTGCCCAAGGCCCCATGGGACAGAGGTGGCTGTGCCTGGGGGTGCCACCTGTCATGGGTGCCATCGCAGGGAACAGGGATGTGGGTGGGAAGAGTGAGCCTCCCCAGGGGTCACTGGCTCCCATATGGAGTCATCTGCTTTGGGGCGTCTCCTGCCGATTGCTCTCCTCTCCCTGGCAGGCTGCAGAAGGAGGTCAGGCTGGCACAGAAAGCAGACTACTCGGCACAGCGAGTGGCCAGCCCTCTGCCCTACGACAAGATCTCGGTAAGACGCCCACGTCCCTCCTTGCAGGGTGTTTGGCGCTGGGGCCAGGCACGTGGTCTGCTTGAGGGGCTTCCAACACAGCGGGGACACTGGCCAGCTGGGGGGCTGTGGGCTCTCCGCAGCCCGGCCTCCACACCTGGCCTTGCTCTTTCCACAGCCCGGGGACAAGACGCTGGCTCAGAGTGCCCAGATGTACCACTACCAGCACCAAAAGCAGCAGATGCTCTCCATGGAGAAGTAAGCAGCCTCGGGCGCAGACGGCAGCCCCGATCGCTGCTCCATGCCCTGCCACTAACTGGGGTGCCCTTAATCATCGCGCTGGGCTTCACCCCGTCTCTGCATCCTCTCCCCCCAGGCATAAAGAGGAGCCCAAGTTGCCGGACTCAGCATCATCCGACGAGGAGAATGAGGATGGAGACTTCACCGTGTACGAGTGCCCTGGGCTGGCTCCGGGCAGCCCGGCCGGGGGGACCCTGTGCGCGCGGTGTGGGATCCGACACATGCTTGGAATGTGCAGCTCCTTGCAAGGAGCCTTTTAAACACATCCTTCATCAAACCCTGAGATGGTCCAACCCTTCTGCTTGCCCCATGTGCCCTGGCCAGGAGCGGGTGCCCTGGGGTGGCTGCCGTGGCACGGGGCTGTTCTCCGAGAAGTGCTGCCCCGTGGCCCCTGGAGCAGAGAGCCCGAGCAGCCCTTGGCACACCCAACCCGCTGTCCCTGCGGAGCCGGGGACGTGGTCCCCTCGGGCTCCTGGGCACTGTGGAGCTCATCCTGGTGCCTCCCCAGCGCCCAGACTGGGGACCTGAGACCCCTCAAAGCCAAGGGGGACTTTCCTGGCTGGCAAGGGGAGCCTGGGAAGGGCAGCTGCTAACAGCCCTGGGTACAAAGAGCACAAAGAGACCCGAAAGGAGCCTTTCACATGGTAATGGCTGCGGAGCCCGGCCATCAGGGCCCAGATTAAGGGTCATCATTAGGTCTTTACAGGCCCATTAAAGGGCACTTGATGGCAGGCAGGCAGTCTGGGCAGGGAACCCCATTCCTGCCAGCCAGGCAAATCCTGGGGTCCCTAGTGGGAGCAAGGGACTCCATTCCTCCCAGCCAGGCTGGGGGTCCCCTCCCATCCAGGACCATGGGTTTTACAGACCATTACCCCATCCCAGCATCCCGGGCCGCTCCTGGCAGGGAGGCAGCGCCTTTCCAGGCGTGATGGCAGCGTCCTGCTGTGTGGTCACCCCAGCCCACGAAGTGTCCCCCCCCATCCTCCCTCCTTCCTGCTGGGCTGGGGTTCAGACCCAAAACCCTTGAAACGGGACAGCTCAACCCCCAGCTGTTTTCTGACCTCCCGCCTTTTCCTTCCCCCCCAT